ACACACACACACACACACACACACACACACACACACACACACACACACACACACACACACTTACATACACGCTTACATACACGCTTACATACACACAATATGCACATACACACAGACATTAGCGCGTTATATTTGGTGGGATAATTTATGGTTTGGAAGAGTTCGTGGCTGCTAATCCGGAAGGGGGGAAACACGCGATCCTTCGTCGAATCGTAAATCTGAGATGTAGTTATCGTAGTCTACTAAAAAGAAGCGCATTGAATCTGTTCTATTACATGATGTTATTTTGTTGCAATACATTGTGAAAATACCGCGCAGTTTCCTGAGAAGCAGGCAAAATTGTCATTACATTCGAGAGCACACTTTTTCTTCATTGCTAGTTAGATCATCAGTATTGTGAGGTGGGAGACGGAAAGTAGGATTTGTATGATTTATTCGCCGCACGCGGCGCCGCAGAAATCTGCATAGCCGTTATTACAGCTTAAGCATTTATCATACAGCTCAGTCGATACGCGATCATTATTTTGGGCATGATTCTACTTTTAGTTCTTTTGTTCCTGTATTTCTTACCTACTTCTGCATTCTGTTACATTTCGTCGTGTGCGGAGTCCTCTCGTCACGGCGCGACAATTTTGATCCTACTGCCCTCGTGGTATGACATCTTTTATGGAATAGTAGTCACTTACCCCTATGTCAACACGACCCTCCTTACTTTTCGACACAACAATTCCACTGGTGAATGGGCCTTGTTCGTTCTGAAAAAATTAACGCAAATCATTAATTCTCAACAGTAGAACAAGACAGGTTCACTAACCTTTCTATATAGAGTCAGCTCCGCCTCCTTTATTTGTGAAATGTTCAAAGGCAAACCAGCTTTCGTTGAAATAATCCAGCTGACTACCAGATTGAGCCCTGCTTCAACTGTGACTGTGGCCATCTGCGAGAGAGGGAATTCAAAAAAGGGTAAAAGTTTAAATACACATTATTTGTTGTGCATGCGATCAAAAGTTCCAGTCGGTAACACAAAAATAGTATCTGTTTGGAAACGCCTATCTGAACCATGCTGCTAGCGTTGTTGTCTTCATTGATGTCCTTTTAGTCACCAAATGATAATGGGCGATCAGCATATGATCATCAAGTTTGTTGGAGAAGCGGGTTTGGCGCATCTAGGTGCGAAGGTCTTTTCGGACCTACCTTAGCATCCTTGTCAGCAGACTGACGCTGAGCGCGGCGACCTGGCTCATAACAGGGTGGTATGAGTAAGACGGGAGACGGGGAATTGTATGGGTCAGAATCTATACCTTTTTGCAATCAGCACTTCTCGCTCTCTGCAGTTTTTTTACTCAGAGTGGTGGGGAATGTTGCTGATTAGTCGAAAGATACGCAACCCTTGATTATCACCCACAGATGATGGTAGGGACAAGAGCATTTTCCAGAGTACAGTCTGAATGGTTACTGGTTTCGACATAGGAATGAGTTGTATGAAACGACAAAGTTTTTGGCGTTAATCAAACGGGATGCGCCCCCGCACTCGACATCCATTCAGAATCGTAGTGGCGTAGTGAGTGCGTATGTGGACTATACAATGACTTGCGGTGGCCAGCCGATGTACAAGCCGGTGCTTTTATCCTCCCAGACGAGCCTGGTCCCAATTTACCGACCCCGGAGGTATGGAAGGCTTGGTTGGCTTGGGTGGGCATCGATCCGGGACTCGAACCCCTGACCGAATGAATTGGAATGGAAATAAAAATGGAAGAGTACTATTCCTAGCTGGAAATGATTCGTTCTCAACAAATGATGGCGGTATATCGTGTCTGTGAATCCTTATAAGGGAATCTGAGAACTGGATGACGAGTTCATTAAATCTTTTCGTATAAGGAAACTGCAGCAATCAATCAACTATACTGTACTTGAGTGGTGATAAGTCGATCCCCTGATCATGAATCTGTGTAATTGTTAAGTGACTATCACTATCACACAGGCATTGTCCGGGTATCGAATTCCGGCTCAATATCCGTCCAAGCCGACCAAGTCTTCCATTCCTGCGAGTTTGCTTAATTGGTGTCAGACCGATCTGGTAGTATTTGAGCTCTGACGAGGATCGGCGACCGCCACAGGTCCTTCCTTGGTTGGGCCACCTACTCGGGAAAAAGCATTACCACCGTTTCGAATTGGAGTTGACTGTGAGATCAAGTTCGATTGACCTCGGAATTTCTGTCTCCCTCCTTCAACTCTGTCGTATCAAGTCCTTGAATTTTGCTTGTTGAGCATGACGACGTCTATGGGGCGAATCAGTAGCGGAGAGACGTGTTTACTAACGGTCCCTAGACACTTTTCCGGGATCCGTTACCGATTCGAACTAGCACGGCCAAGGGTTCGAACTCCGGAGCGATATCCGCTTCGGCTCACCATTCCCTCCACCGCTCCGGGGTCGGTAAATTGGTACCAAACCCGTTTGGTTGGCACCAACGATGAATTCTTCGTACAGTGATCAGGTTCTGCTCATGATGTTATTGCACGCCCGTAAGTCGCTACTGATAGCCCTTCATTGATCTTCAGACAGCTACACCGATTCTGTTTAGAATACAGGAACAACAACGACGTAACTCAGGCAAATCTTTCGATTGAAGACCTCTTTCATTGTAGACACCTGTCTGTCAAGTAACTCCTTAAGCCGTCGCAATTGAAAAGGACTGCTGGAAATGGGAGTTCTCAAGGAAGGTGTGGGTCGACATGATAAACTCGGAGTCCCTCACCCTACTCATTCAATTCCATTTCATGTTTCCCGTAATGTGGCTGCAATCAGTTTTTCTGGGGCGTTAGAATCGCGAAATATGACTTTAAAGAAAGTGTAGTCCTTTCCGTGGTCTAAGCCCTCGAAAAAGTTTCTTCCCACTACAATGACTTGTGATAGTCAGTCGTCTCGAAAGTTAGTGCTAAAATCTCTCCTGTCAATTTAAGCAACCGCGAAGGGATAGAAGACTTTTTTGGCTTGGACGGATATCGAGCCAGGAATTAAATTCAAACCATTCTTCTGTGATAGTGTGCGCTGTTTGACACTATCGCACATGCATGGTCCGGAGATCGAACTACCGTTGGACGTGGGTTCCTCACAGCTAGTAGGGCTTATCCTTCATGAGAGTGAAGAGAAGTGACGCGATTTCGATTTGAACTCGGTCATGTTTGAAAGAAACAGTAATGTTGTCATGAATAGTATGACACGTATTCGAGGAACATCTATGACAATTCACTTACAGGGGTGGCTCCGGTTACTACTGTAATCCACGGGCTCATTGGACCGGCACCGGCTCCAGTAAAGCATTCTCCAGTTGCATAATATATCTCTGACAATGATTTTGTTATTTTACGACCCTTGTACTAGGAACACTTAGCAGTGATTTCTCTAGAAAGTTAAGAAAACGCATGAGGTTTTGTCATCAACATGAAATCAAAATCAAAACTGTAGTGAGGTTCTCATAAACATTGTAATGGCTAACATCTAATTATATCACGTTTGCCGCATAAGCCTATGAGGGACATTGGAATGAAATACTTGGACCTCCCCTATACGAGAATCGTTTCGAAGAATTATGGTTAGTCGGTAGTTTTGGTCCGTGAGAAGGCCACATGTATCTTGACAAACAGTCAGTCATTATGGAACGCATAAAGACCCGTCGTGAAGCCTACTGTCCCGGAAAGGAGGCTGGGAGGGCTGACCAAACAGTGGGCGCCACGACGGGTCTTTGTGCGTCCACACAGAGACTGCGCCTCGTGTCACATACTTCAAATTGGGGCACGTTTCTTGTAATCACAACCAGCTATCACACGGTAATAGTCGCAACGCATTTCGCTATGCAACGACTGATGTCTCGTCCGAACATCCGGTTTGTCGTCCAAACTTCACCCAATCTTGAGAATGATTTAAAGCGACCTAACTCTTACAAACTTTGTTTTCGCCCTATCGTTTTCGCCACTCGGGAGCTTTTTTACATCGGCATTTTCGTTCTGCCATCCAACAAATAAATGTGGAATTGTCAAAAAATTATCATTCTCACACAGCGATTTGAGCATTACCCGACTGCAGATGGTTCTGGAAGAGTTCCGGGAATTCCACTTTCTAAATTTTTCACTGTTGAACTGGAGGCTTCGCAGACAAGATTAGCTCGTGACTTTCGTGCCGTTCGGACGACTTAAAAGACGGCCAGGTGTGGCGCGAACGTCGTCCCGCCGGGAAAGCACCGCACGCTGCGGAGAGCGAGAGTTTATCACGTGGCGGCGGACTCTAGCCACTATCGGCGATCGCATCATCATTCATCGCCGTCGTCAACGCCGTAGCCGCCTACCTCAGCGCGTAAGAGCTCGCAACGGAAACTGGGGCAGCCTTTGGCCTACCAAGTCCGTGTAGCAGTTGAATACGAGCATGGCGAGTGGGCAGAAGACCCCGGTCACCTAACTCACGCCACCCGGGACGCCCTACCAAGCAACCACGATGCGCATCGACCTCGGCAGGACGTCGCTAACGGCGCGACAGTGACGATGCCCCGACAGGCTTCGATCAGCTTGGAGTGGAGGGTGAATGAAAGGCGTTCGTTTGGTAGTATTGGGAACGATAAACACGAAGATATTGCTATTTCATCGTCGGAAATACGCGTCATGTATTAATATGCGACACATATCAAATTGCAGTCGGAAATATTATTCATTTTCCGGAGCAAGTTTTGTAGGAAAACAGTATAAAAATAAACAGAGTATCAGTCAAACCGTATTCATCGAAATCGATGAATTCCACGCTGCGTGACTGCGCTGGAGCACGCCTCGAAAGACACGTTTGTGTGATTTCCTTTACTTTACAAAGGGTGATCTGAAAATTCGATAAGTGTATTTCTAGAATAGTCATTTATTATTAAACGTACAATTCACTACTGAATGTGGTCTGGTTGCTCGCAAAATCTACGGGGTTCTAAAGTCGACGTCGGCCAGGCATGGCTCAGGCTCAGGAGTGATCATTAAGTGTCGCATGTGAGCATGGTTTTTGCCAGTAAGAATCGTCGCAGTCAGTCGCATTGGGAGTCATCAGGACCATCAAAAATTCTCTCAGACAAGTAAGCTACCAATTAATGGACGCCGGAGGGAAGAAAGGCTCGAAAAGTTAGATACGAATAAACGAGAACATACAGAAAGATCCAGAGAACAGCTTTTTAACAGAGATGATGATCCTGTCCCTTACCTCATCTCGTCTTATCGCTACGACTACTGCCTAATGGTTCAGTATATAGTACAGAATATACAAGACCCATCGG